TACAGCAGTTCACATACACTTTGTCTCATAACATTGACTACAATTTACTCCAATGCAACAGCTCCCCTCCCACTTCCTCCCCATAGTTACTTCTTCCCTGTGCCCATCCCTCCATGTACTCCTGCCCCCTGAGCTGTCTCCCTGTGCATACACAGCCCTTCTTTCTCCCGTGATTATTCTCTCCAAGGAGTGTATCTACCTCAGGTAAATGTTTAACTCATATGTCTGTCTTTTGTTTGGCTGGAAGCCACAGGTGTGGGTTCAATTCCAGACGTGAAGGGCAGCTAGGGGCCAATAGTCTCAGAGGTTCCACCAGGCTCCACTGGACCAGCAAACCTGGTCCCCAATATTTTTTTCCCAAAAATAATTTTGAGTTTTTTTTCCGCATTGTTCTCCCTCTCTATCCAGGATCTCCTACATAGATCCCCCTCCGAGTGCTTGACAGTTGTAGCTGGGCACCATCCAGTTCCTCTGGTGTCATAGTCGCACAGGCTGTGGATCACACAGTGTACTAGTCACTAGGACTAATTGTTTCCATAAATCTTTGGTTTTCTTCCTTGTTCTTCGCTCTGGACGAGGAGAGGCCCATTGCTGCATCTAGATGGCCACTTGCAAGCTTTTAAGATCCCAGTGGCAACTCGCCAAAGTAGGAAGTAGAACAATGTTTTGTGTAGTGTTATGCCAACTGAGCTTGATGTCCCGTGACCATGGTCCCGAGCCCACAGGTTCAACTACTTGCTCCTTCTGGGTAGCTGGCTGTGACCAAGAAGTGACTACAATCTTGTCCCTTGTCAGGTTTTGGCTGGCTTTTATCTGTTTGTTATCTTGCTCTGTGTTCTGCTTCATTCATGTATTCTAAGTATTTTATGTGCTTCTTTAAAAAGGACAGACAGGTCTGTTTTGTTTATTGCTTCTCAGCACTTACCTGTGTCTGGTAACCAGTGGGCTCTCAAATATTTGTTGAGTAAATGAATGAAACTGACATTTAATAAGACATAGAACTTTAGTGCTGGAAAAGATCTGGCAGGGAGCAGATCAATGAGTCACTCTATCTCCACAAAATTTGCAAAAGTTGTTCATCTATACATTGTTTAAAAGACAGACTGCAATCACTGGTCACCAAAAAGCTGGATGGATCAGAGCCAAAGGTGTGTTTTGGCTTGTACTATGTTGACCTGACATGGCCTTGTAGCAGCTGTGGCCCTTGGTAACTGTACTGTAAACTTTGGTGAACCTCTCTGTCTTTTAAATAATATGAATTAATGAGCAAGATTTACAAAATAGATTTCACATAAAAATCACTATCAGCCTTTCACGAAAAATTAATAAATGTAAAACATAGTCCCAACAAGCCCACATGATAAAAATTCACTGGTGCCCAGTCTCAAACTCTCACTGCCGTCAAGTCCGAGCTGACTCATAAAGACCCCTCCTTGGGTTTCAAAGGCAGTATCACTACAGAAGTAGATCGCCCAGTCTTCCTTCTGAGGAGTGGCTGGTGGGTTTAAACTGCCAGCCTCTGGTTAGCAGTCAAGTGCCTTAGGCAGTATGCTACCAGAGCTCCCTACTGCCCCCTTTAGATAACACATCCGTTCTAGTCTCCAGTGTCCCCAACCATACCCCACTGTCTCCCAACAAGAAGGCTAAGTGTCAGTTGGCTGCTGATACTGAGGCTACTGATTTTCTAATAGTAGTTAATGGGAAAATGAAGTATTTATTGTTCTCTGTTTTAAAAAAGTAAAATGGAAGAGGAGCCTGGGTATTTATTATGCCTGAGGCTTGCTTCATTAATGTATGTGACCTGTTTGGCCCCTGCAGTATCTAAATTTTGACTCCTGATTTAAACACTTCTCTAGTGACATGTATCTCATATAATAAGGCAGCCCATTTCCTTTTTCTCTCTCTGTGCTAAATTGAGATTTGCCATCCTATTCCATCTGCTCATTGATCCTGAACCTTTGCTGTGAAGATACCCACTGCATTTTTATTTCCTATCATCATTCTTCACATAAAAGATTCAAAGTCTTCATCATTCTAACCTCCCCCCTCTGAACATCATGCAATTTAATAGGGTTCTTCTTAAAAGGTGGCACTCAGGAGGAAGACACCTTAGTAAATATATTTCTGGTTCCCACTCCTACTATCATTGAGTTGATACTGACTCACAGCAACCCTGTATGGATAGAGTAGAACTGCCCCATGGTGTTTCCAAGCTGTAAATCTTTATGGAACCCAACTGCCTCATCTTTCTCCCACAGAGTGGCTGGCAGGTTCAAACCACCAACTCTTTGGTTACAAGCCAAATGCTTTTAATCACCACGCCACCAGAGCTCCTCTATTTCTGGTTTAGACAGTATAAAGTACAGTGGGATATATTTCTTATTTTGAAAAATATGCCACTGCTACTGAATATACTGATGCATCAAAGGAAAAGATGAAAGTAGAGCAGCAGATGATAACATCTGAGGAAGGAGACCAGGACCTAAATACTCCAGAACCAAAAAAGGTCTCAACAAAAGAGTTAGATGTAGCCTTTCGTCTCATTGTAGCAGGGATGGCAAAGTTAGAGAAACAAGATTCTAAGACAGAGAGGTTCACCAAAGTTTACAGTACAGTTACCAAGGGCCACAGCTGCTAGAATGCCATTTATGGCAAGGAAAAAAAAATTGTTAGAACCTCCTTTGATGCTGACCTCAAGAAACTGACTCCAATAGTAAACCCTCCTCTCTAGCAAAATAGTTAAACCCTGACTCCCCAGCACCACGTCCACTCACCAGACCAATCATCTTCACCAGTAGCCATCTCTCCATTATCTTTACCCCCATCATCCAACTATTAACATCATCATAACGTTATCTCACAAATGCCCCTTCTGGTATATAAAACATCAATGCAACTAGATTTTTCTTTTTCTTATCTAGACTATTTTAGGGAGCTCTGGCAGCATAGTGCCTAAGGCATTTGACTGCTAACCAGAAGGTTGGCGGTTCAAAACCAGCCAGTCCTCAGAAGGTAGACTGAGCAATCTACTTCTGTAGAGTTACCGCCTCAGAAACCCAAGGAGGGGTCGTTCTGTGTCAGATTCAACTCAACTGCAATAATTGAGTGAGAGTGAGACTGAATATAAGCCATTAGGGCTTGCTCTTTACACAAATCTTGTAGCAGGGATTTGATATTCAACATCTATTAAACAACTATCTATTGTGCATTTATCTGAGACTATTGTGCTAGATAAGTTTCTGTGTGATTCACAGTAGTATGAATCACACAGAAACACTGACCAAATCGTAAGATTAAAAGGCTACATAAAATACATTTGAGCTCATATGTACATGAAATCAGTCTAATCTTATTTTTCACAAATAATGTGCCCATGTAAATAACACACCCACACATTACAATGCATATAGTACACATAGGAAAATAATGCATAAGGGGGCTGTGTGGTTGGCAAAATGTATAGTGCACATTGCTTGTGTGAAAATATGGTAATATGCAGAAATAATGGTACATAACTAAAGTTTAATCTAAATGTCTGTGCTGAATATTAGTGTACAAAAGGTAAATTTTCTTTGGTCAATTAAGCAGGGCCTCCCAGTTAGCTAATTAAGATAAACCAATAGAATATTCAGTTGTATCTGGCAGGATGAGTTCAAGCTACTGTTCTTCCCTTCCTCAGTGTGCCAGAGTCTTAGCAGTGAGGGAAACATAAAAGTGATGACTTCACAATGAGCTTAACCCTCTCTGTTCTCATACTCCCTGAACTCCTACATACCTAACGCTCCTTTACTTGTATTTATGTATAATTTTATATCCACAAAGTATCTTCCAAGTAATTAGTGACAATCATTTAAAGAAAAATACCTGTTTTTAAAATTCCAGTGACACCACACTTAGAGCAAATCTACTTTTATGCCTTCTCTGATAAAGGACATAGACAAAACCCAAGGAGCCTCCACATCACAGGGAGGACCCAAACAGACCACATTCTCTGAAACACAGCTTAAGATGGAAGAGATTCTTGTCTGAAAAGTTTATTTATAAGATTAAAAACTTACTCCTATACTGTCAAGAGGGAGAATCTGACAGAGGGAACAAAAGGATTAAATTTAAAACCAAAAAGCCCAAACTAGACAGAGTTGAAGCCCTGAAGTCTAGAACTTAGGTCAACCAGAGTACTCTCCTCCAGACCAAGAATGTGCCTGAGATGAGGCTGTTCTACCCAAACATCTGCCTTCCCTTGGACTTTGATCTCTGTCGCAATCTCTGATTTCTGTACTAAGGTCTGGCCCTTAATTTCTGTGTCCAGTTATCTCAAGTTAATTCTGACCTACATTAATCCTGCAGTGGCTGTTCAGAAGAAAGAAAGTAATGCTACCCCAACAGGAAACAATTTAAACATTGGCTATGGATTAAAAGATGTATGTATATGTATTATACATCTAATTACATCCACTTGTATACATGACTACAGAATTGTACTAGTATTTGACTTTACTGATATACAAAAATTCTTATTTTAAAAGCTGAATTAGAAATGGTTGGAGAAAATAAATATAACAGGTAGAATAAACATACCAAATAACTTCCAAAAAGTCTTCTAGGACTTTTTATAAGATATAGTCTTATCCCTTAATTCTGCAGTATTTACGCATGACCATATATTTATACTTTTCTAGTATGTACTTTAGTAATCCATTATCTTATTCCTCATACCAAGGATATCACAAGACCAGAGCATCCCCCCACCAAAATATAGACATGGCTAATAATAGGTTTAGCACCAAGATGGTGTTCAACATCCAACATTCACTTTTAAGTGCATACAGAAAACAAGAATTCATTATGACATTTTAAAAGTGAAGGAAGCCTTAGTAGCTATAGTTTATAATTTATTCATCTAGGAAGATTAACTCTCAAAATGACAAAATTAATTTTCTTTCAGAGTTATCATTGAGCATATATCTAAGCTCCCCCAGGCCCAAGGTTCTACCACATACCTGGTCTGTTAATTCTGTCAATTTTATCCATGCTAGGGGATAGGAGCCGAAGGCGAGGACTGCTCTGATTGGAGGTGTCTGATCCCACGTCATTGAATGAATCATCAAGAGTCAGTAAGAGTTCTTTTACACATTTATGACAGATACTGTGTTGACAAGGGAGAATCAACGGGTGGGTAAACAGCTCCTTGCATGCTGGGCAAATGAGCTCTTTTTCAATATTCTTAATGGAAACCTTAAATTGAGAAAAAGAAATTAAAGTCAAAGGCTCTTAGCAGGTAAATGTGTATGGTCACATGAATATGCCCTTCTTATATATATGTACATGTGTTTACCTTTTAAGAAAAGAATTAAAAACATTTTTTTTAATCTTAAATTTTTCTACTATGAAATTCTATACCATCAGCTCCCTCAACATCCATGGCCTAAGCTGAAGAGATAAAAGATGGTAAAAGTACAGAAAGTGAGGACAAGAGAGAGATATTAGATAAAATATATATATACATATATATATATATATAAACTCACTGCCATCGAGTTGGATCCAACTCATAGCAACCCCTGCTTGGGTTTCCGAGGTGCTATAACTATGGAAGTACATTGCCCAATCTTTCATCCGAGGAGGAGCAGCTAGTGGGTTTGGACCCCCAGTCCTCTGATTAGGAGTCAAATGCCTTAGGCACTATGCCACCAGAGCTCCTACATAAAATATTAGGGGACTATGATATTCTATCAACAGCTACAAAGTCATAAAAATCATTAATTCACTGAACTAGGACTTCAGTGAAATCCTGGAAGCTTATTATTCCAATAGAAATTAAGAAGACAGCACTAAGAATAGAACTACTTCTATATAGCACATATGTCTGTGCCTAGCAAATAATAAGAGCTGGTAAAAATTGTGTTAGCCATTATGTGTGGAAGCTAGCTAAAATCTATTTCCAAACTGAATTATCAGCAATTTTCTACATTTATATGTGACCATTTTTCATATGCTCCAAATGCAATGCAGCTAAAAGGCTTGAGATTCCCATGCTATATATAACTAAGCAGTTATCTTAAAAGCCCTTCATAAATATTAAAAAGACCAAGAGGATTAAAAAGCATCATTATCACAGCTTTATTTTCAATGAGGAACAGTTTAGACTCATCAAAACTAAAAAGGTTGATTAACCCATACCAGTTTCCCATCCTTATTCTATGTAGTGGTTTATTTAAAAAAAAAAAAAAAATGTATTCCAAACTATGAGTATCCTTACAATCTTCATGACAGCCCAACTTTAAAGTTCTTATGACCTTGTAAATCATTTCTACTATGAGAAACATTGAAACTGAATTACTTCATTTATTTTAACGAAATAAAAGTATACTATCCTATTCTATCTAAAGTGGAAACAAAGTACTTTAATAATCCCTGATAATTTAATAGCATTACAGTCAACTGGCATTATCATTGTCAACTCTTTCTATGCAGAGTTCTCTTGCTGAATCACTCAGATATTTAAAATAAAGGCCCACATCATATTACAATCTTAATAAATTTGGAAATAAAACAGCCACACCTTCCAATTCACATCAAAGAATATTTGTTTGTCCACATCCTATCACAACGGATTGACACCTAATTCAAAAGAAATTGTTCTGATTGTCCAAAATAGACTCTCATACTCTATTTTTAATATAAAACTATACTGCCACTTAAGGTGTATCTTGTATTGAGAGATCTATAACCATTTCCACTTTTCTTGTAGATAAATCAATGTCATGAACTTGGCTTTTAAATCACGATAGATCTAAACCAAAAGAAAAACTATTGTGCTTTTTATATTCATTGGGGTGGAAACAATTTAAGAGAACACAACCTAGTGGCTCTCTCAGTTAACCCACTTTAAAATAAATGAGTTTCATCGGGAAACTAACAAGTTCGAAGACCAGCAAACCCGACCTCTTCAAACACACACTTGTACTTCGACAGCTGCCAGGGCACCGCCCGCCCCCAACGAGCCTGAGGAGCCTGGGAGGCGTCGCGATGCTTGGGGCAGCGTTGGGGCACGGGGGCCGGATACCGCGGGGGTCGGAGCCCAGCACAGCACCCGCTGCAAGGCCGCTTAGACAAAGGACACGCCCCCCCAACCAGCGACTGCACCTGAATCCCAGAAGCGAATTAATTCTACAGCCAGAACCCATTAAAGAACCCAGCCAGAACTCCTTGAGGTGCTAAGGTGGTAGACCACCGGTCCGGAGCGGCGCTCCCTTCCCCCGAGGACGCCGAATGCCACACTCCGAGTAGTAGGAATGGGACACCCTAGGTTACAGAGCCCTGCCCGGCGCAGGGAAAGGCGAAGAGGAAGCGGGGCCACCGCACGCCCGCCCTCGCTCCTTCTCGGGAGAGGCTTCCTTTGGGCTCGTGGCTGAGGAAGGAGAAAGACCTAAAGCTCCACGCGCCGCCATCGAGAGGTGAGGTGGCGGCGGCCCCTCTCCCCAAACTCACCAGCGAGTCTGAACGATCCCCCTCCATGATAGCCTCTTGCCAGCTGTCATCAACGGCAGGTCCAAACAGACGTCCGGGGCAGGGTCCGATGGTCGGGTCCCTGCGGCGGCTGTCGTGCCTCGGTTCGGAGCCGGATGGAGAGTTGGGACTGGGCCAGCAGACCGACGCGGCCAGGAGCAGACCGGGGCCAGAGAAACCACAGACGCAGGAGAGTCGAGCTTTGCACCCTGCGACGGCCCCGGAAAACCCGCCCAGCTGCCGGCTGCGGCGGCGACTCCTGTACACTGCGGCGGGGCCGGCTGCCGCGCGGAGACAGGGGCGCGGGCGCCGCTCTGCGGCGGGCCGGGGCGGGACCGGGGCGGGACGGTGCCGTCGCCCAGGCAACAGCACTCACCGCACAAAGGAGGCGGGACAGCAGGGCGGAGCGCCAGGGCAGGGCGGAGGTGGGCTCACGGTTCCCGAGAGCCACAATCTCCACCGCCTCCCCATCTGCCCCTATTTCCTTACCGGGCCGTCCCTCACCACCCCTTGCCAGGGTAGAAAGCCGACAGGGGACAGCAGTGAGAGCAGGGAGGGGGCAGTGGAAGCTGAGGGCCACACTCGGGGCGGGGCGAGGGCGGAGCAGTATGGCGATGGGGCAGTCCTCGCCCCTGGCCCCGCACAACCTCTCTGCCCTTCCTTTTGCTTTTCCTGAGCTTTCGTAGGACGAGGGTTGACTTATCACTGACAAGTGTCATTTCCTGGCTCTGGACGAGGTGGTAGAGATGAGGGCAGACCCAAGCGATCCTCCCTGCCCGGTCACACCAAGCACCGCAGAGCTGCATGCTTTGGAGACGACCAGAGCGAGACACCTCCCACTCCATCCTCCACCCAGACAGGTCTGGGGATTCGCATCGTGGGTCACCTTCTTTACCTGGATCTTCTCTCTTCCCTTTAGGCTGAACTTCATTTCCTGGGTAGTCACCAAGCGCTAGGATTCTGCTTTCGCATTCTGCTTTTACACACCAAGACGCGGCGCTATTGCGCCCCAGACGTTCTTGCCAAGCGGAGTGGGGACAAACTTCAGGGCAGTGTTCCCCGCCCCCCGGGTGCTGGCCCAGGGCTGCAGGAGAGCCGCACCCTGCGGTGGAAGAGCGCCCCGCCCCCGAGGCTGCGATATTCTTTTCCCCCTGGAACAGAAGGCGCGAGGAAAGGGGGCCATGCGACCAGAGCTGCTTCCGCACGCACAGTCTACGCGGTGCGCTCCCGCCAAGTGTTAAGACTCGCTGTTTCTGCAGCTCAGGAACCAGTTTAGCCTAAATGCCACCTACCTTCGCTCAAGCTCTTTTCTTCTATCTTGTTTTCAGGGTAAAGAGAGAACCTGGGACTGTCCGAACTAAAATTGTTACACAATGCCATTGCCTTTCCAATACCATCGTTACACTGACTGAGAACAATGGCATTAAACATCTGGACAGAGGGGACCACAGATCCTGTATCGAGGATGCTGTTTAGGTTTTGAAATGCTTCCCTCTTTTGTTTCCTATTTAAGATAACTCTCGTTGTGGCAAGTTCCGCCACATGCCCACAACCCTGTGGGCAGCGGTCACCTCTTCTCCAAGACGGTAGTAAAAATAGTGATTGTTGTTGTTATGTGCCCTCGAGTCCGACCCAACTCATAGCGACCCCTCCTTGGGTTTCCGAGGCAGTATCACTACGGGAGTAGATTGTCCCATCTTCTTTCCGAGGAGTGGCTGGTGGGTTTGAACCGCCAGCCTTCTGGTTAGCAGTCAAGTGCCTTAGGCACTACGCTACCAGAGCTCCTTAAAATAGTGATAAAAGTGTAGAATTTAAAAAAAAAAAAAAAAAAGCAGCAGCAGCAGCAAGGGACCATAGCAGCTGTCTTTAATCAAATACCCTCAAATTTACAGATGACGTGCGCAGGAAGAACGCCTTGCCAGGTAGTAACTAGGCTACTCTGATCCCCAATTAATAATACCGGTCCAGTGAACCCACAGGAATACACAGAGTCACTGTACCAAAAAGAACTGATCGATCTTCATCCATTTCAGGAAGTGGCATATGATCTAGAACCAATGGTAATGAAGGAAGAAGTCAAAGCTGCAATGAAAGAACTGGCGAAGAACAAGGCTCCGGGAATTGATGGCATACCAATTGAGATATTTCAACACACAGATGCCCCATTGGAGGCGCTCACTCAGTTATGCCAAGAGATTTGGAGGACAGCTACCTGGCCAACTGACTGGAAGAGATCCATATTTGTGCCCATTCCAAAGAAAGGTGATCCCACAGAATGTAGAAATTATAGAACAATATCACTAATATCACATGCAAGTAAGATCTTACTGAAGATAATTCAGAAATGTTTGCAGCAGTATATTGACAGAGAACTTCCAGAGGTTCAAGCCGGATTCAGAAGAGGACGTGGAACAAGGGATATCATAGCTGTTGTCAGATGGATCTTGGCTCAAGGCAAGAATACCAGAAAGATGTTTACTTGTGTTTTATTGACTATGCAAAGGCATTTGATTGTGTGGATCATGACAAATTATGGATAACATTGAGAAGAATGGGAATCCCTGAGCACTTGATTGTACTCATGAGGAATCTGTACCTTGACCAGGAGGCTGTCATTCGAACAGAACAAGGGGACACTACATGGTTTAAAATCAAGAAGGGAGTGCGTCAGGGTTGTATTCTTTCTCCACACTTATTCAATCTATATGCTGAGCAAATAATCCGAGAAGCTGGACTATATGAAGAAAAACGTGGTATCAGGATTGGAGGAAGAATCATTAACAACCTGAGATATGCAGACGATACAACTTTGCTTGCTGAAAGTGAGGATGACTTAAGGCACCTACTGATGAAGGTTGAAGAATACAGTCTGCAGTATGGATTACATCTCAACATAAAGAAAACAAAAATCCTCACAACTGGACCAATGAGCAGCATCACAATCAATGGAGAGAAGATTGAGGTTGTCAAGGAATTCACATTGCTTGGTTCTACAATCGATGCCAACGGAAGCAGCAGTCAGGACATTAGACGTCGTGTAGCATTGGGAAAGTCAACTGCGAAGGAACTGTTTCAAGTGCTGAGGAGCAAGGATATCTCCTTGAGGACTAAGGTGCGCCTGACACAAGCCATGATATTTCCAATCACCTTGTATGCATGTGAGAGCTGGACAATGAATAGGGAAGACCGAAGAAGAGTTGATGCTTTTGAGTTGTGGTGCTGGCGAAGAATGCTGAAAGTACCGTGGACTGCTAAAAGAACTAACAGATCTGTCCTGGAGGAAGTGCAGCCAGAATGCTCCTTGGAAGCAAGAATGGCCAGACTTCGTCTCACCTATTTTGGTCATGTTGTCAGAAGGGACCATTCCCTGGAGAAGGATGTCATGCTTGGTAGGGTGGAGGGTCGACGAAAGAGGGGGAGGCCTTCAACGAGATGGATTGATACAGTGGCTGCGATGATGGGCTCGAGTATAGCAGGGATTCTGGGGCTGGTGCGGGATCAGGCAGTGTTTCGTTCTGCTGTGCATGGGGTCGCTATGAGTCGGAAACGACTCGACGGCACTTAACAACAACAACAACAACAGTGAACCCACAAGGTGGAGCTGAGGCCGCTTGCTTCCCACAAGTTCTGAAGGTTCCTAATAGGGAGAAATGAGGAAAATAACAAATGCCTGCAAAGTTTAGGCACCTAAATCATGTTCTATACCATGTTCTTATGTAGATTTTAAAAGCACTGAAAGTCAGTTTCTGGGCCCTTGGGTTAAATCATTTCCCATGGCTTTAATCTCGCATCAGCACATCTGCGTAGAGATTTAGACCCAAATGAAATAGTTGACAGTAAAAGAGACTGCTGACTGTAAAAGAGACTGTTACCAGTTGCTGTCAGACTCATAGTCACCCCATGTAACCAGTAGAACGATCCTCATAAGGTTTTCTAGGATGTAATCCTCACAGGAGCAGATCTCCAGGCCTTTTTCCCACAGAATGGCCCAACGCCACCTTTTCCTTTAGGAGTCCACCACCAGGCTCCTGAAGAGATTGTTGTTGTTGTTATGTGCCATCGAGTCGGACCCGACTCATAGCGACTCCTCCTTGGGTTTCCCAGGCAGTATCACAATGGAAGTAGATTGCCCCATCTTCCTTCCGAGGAGTGGCTGGTGAGTTTGAACAGCCAGCCTTCTGGTTAGCAGTCAGGTGCCTTAGGCACTATGCTACCAGAGCTCTGAAGAGATTAGAAGGCTTTAATAACATGAACTAAAGATAAAATTCATATAGATTATGTTTGGATAAAAATAAATTTAAAAGCCCTTCTATTATGCACATCAAACTTCCAGTGAGATGTCAGTTTTCACCTAATGGACAAAATTCAAAGGACCTCTGGTGGTGCAGTCCCAAAGGCATTTGATTGCTAACCAGAAGATTGGTGGTTCAAACCCACCTAGCCCCTCCAGGAAAGGAAGATAGCGCAATCTACTTCCACAAAGATGTATGGCTTTGGAAACTCAATAGGGGTCACTATGAGTTGGAATCGACCTGACAGCAGTGGATTTGGTTTGGCAAAATTCAAAAATTATGTTATTACACTTGACAAGAATGCAGTGACCAAGGCACTTTCAAAGTGTTTTGTGATAGTGTAGATTGATGCAGTTATTTAGAAGAGAAATTTTGCAAATTCCACATAGTACCCAAGGCACTTGACTTCTAACCAGAAGGCTGGCAGTTCAAACCTACCAGCCACTCCTGGGAAGGAAGGTTGGGCAATCTACTTCTGCAGTGATACCACCTCAGAAACCCAAGGAGGGGTCGCTATGAGTCGGGGCCGACTCGATGGCACATAACAACAACAACAACACTGAAAATTCTAAGTGCTTTTATCTTTTAACTAAGCAAGCCTACTCCTAGGGATTTTTCTCCTGAAATACTTGCATATATGCACAAAAAACATGTGTACAAAGATCCTGAGACCATATTTGTAAGAACAACCTAAATTTTATCCATTATGCCCTTCCATAATGCAGTATCCATAGAATACTGAAATAAATCAACAGCAGCTAAAATAAATGTACTAATGAGAAAGGATTTCTAAAATACAGTGTTAAAAAAAAATAACTACAGAACCATAGAGATTCTGTATGCTGCCACTGTGGCAAAAAGGAAGAAAAAAAAAAGTCCAGGTAGGCATATATGCTTATATAAACAAACAAAAAATTCTCTGAAATAGAGCACACACAAAAAATGGTAACAGTTCTCAGCAGTAGAAACAGAGAAATAGATTTAGGTGTGGAAGACTTACTTTTAAACATTGCAT